AGAGAGAATGGTACAGCAATGAATGAATGAAAACCCAAAATCCCTGTAAATGTTCATTAATACTAATAAAATTTAATAATTTTTTAAAAAGTGTATTCTAGTACATACTTCATTCAGTTGTAATGATCATCTTCCATTTTATGGCCATTCCATAATTAACCATTGTTGTCTTGATGAACGCTTGAGCTGTTTTGGCTTATTTTGTTTGCTAACTGTTTTACATGGCCATAAATAGAATATATGCTATTGAACAAGCATACAGCAGGCAGATTTTTTTGCCGTGAGATAGCTGTAGCTCGTATGTTTTGTTTTGGAGCTTGTCTGTTTTGGTGTATTGTACCAAATTGCCTTTTTGTAAAATTGGACTTGTATGTACTCCCACTTAATAGTGATTGGGGGATAGTGTCCTTCACTGTCACCAGCCAGCTCTGAGCATTAAGCATTTTAAATTTTACTATTTTATGGACAAGAAAAATGGCATCCTGTCTGTTTTCTTAATTACAAATTATTATAATTTCACATTTGGCCCTTTTTAAAAAAAATAGGCTTTTTCTTTCTTTTTTTTTTTTTTTTCTTTGTCAGTTTCTCCTTAGGATTTTTGGTTTGTTTTGAGTTGTGGATTTTTTTGTACGAGTTCTTTGTAAGCTAGAAACTTACCTCTTGTGGTTTTTGTTTTGTTGCACATAAGTTTTCCTATTTATGGAGTCAGAGTGTATCATTTTTTTTCTATCTTGCTTCTGGATCATATGTTCTTTGCAATGGTTTTTCAGCTCTGTTTATATACGTTTATTCTGGCTTTTCTCCAGAAATTGGTTGACACCTGTATTGTCTTCATCTCGAATTGCTTTTCAGTATATCCTTTTTTATTTTGTGCTTTTTTAAATTTTTACTTTGGGCATTTCAAAAGCAATATGAAATATATTTTGTAATATTGGAGTTAGCATTTTTTTCCTATTAAAATGTCAGTTAAAGCAGGAGATGTATATGCTTATTTTTTTATTCACCTAAAAAGTATGTGAAAATGATGCTAGAAACAGACATTTTCAAGATGAGACAAAAATACATTTACTATTAGGACACTGCATCTGGACCCTTCTATCTTCCAGTAAATACTAAAAAATTCAGATTATTCAGTAAAACTTTCACAGGTTATGGAGAAGCAATGCCAGTTTTAGGATCTTAAAATGTTTTATATAACTGCTCTAATGCAGTCTAATGCTCCTGTTCACTAAAGATTAAGTGTCTAAATTAATTTGTGACATCAGAATTCAAATGTTCTTGATGTTGATACATTTCCCATTATAACATCAGAGTATATATCATATACTTGTCACCATGTAAAACATACTGACAACTTTGGTCAGAGGCTGTCACCAGGGCGACAGTATAACTTAACTCCAATAGATTGTTACCATGTGCTGTGGAGTAGGAACTGTCTCATAGCTGACCAACCC